AGACTCGATAATCTCAAAAGAAGTAATAGCCTTTGCCACAGCAGGTCACTCTCTGATGCAATGGGAGGAGACATCTTTGCAGTGCTGCGCCAGGAGTTATGCAATCTAAAATGTCAACTTGAAACATGTCCAAGCAGTAGTCAAGAAATAGCTGCAGCACTGAACACTCAGGTGCTAGAGATGCTTAGGTACTTGGAGAGTGTGGAGGCTCAGCAAAATTACTTTTGTTGTGCCTGAGAAAACAATGTCACTTGAAGAAATTGGGCTATTGAGAGATTCAATTTGCAAGGAAGGAGATGGAAATTACCTAATTGTTTCAATGTACTAGAAGAGGAATGTATTTCTTGGTAGAGAGAACTCTTTTCTTCTTGTAATTGTGTTGTTAAGTCCCAAATCTCTCTTCAAGGAGGGATGCCATGGGTCTGTCTGGATCAGTGAACTTTCTGCTCACTTCCCAATGTTATTGTAGGGTACACAGGCCACCTTTCAAGAAGGATGTTGATATGTGGGTTCTTGCAGCATTAATCTTGTGTTCTATCTTGCTTCCCAGTTTCACCTCCTTAGCATACTCCATTGCAAGAACCAAGCCTTGGAAGCCTGTGTGAAGAATGATTTTGGGGTAAGATATAGACTGTAGCAAGCCCAGATTTGATGCTGTCATAATATCAGTCTCAGTTTTGCAGCATAGGCATTTTCCTGGCTACAAAGGATTTGGCAGGCTAATGAAACTGCTCCATGGGGAAAAATGTTTTCGTGATACTTGCTTCTGTATACCAGATATTACAGCAACATCTCTCACTGGAGTAACTCTATTCAAATAATTCATCTCAGGCATTTGTTATCCTTCACCAGTTCTTTTGCAGCGTGCACAGAACTACAGGCAATATTGCATTGCTAGAGAGGAAGGCATGGACAAAAGTCACTGTAAAGTCAGCAAAAGCCAAGAATTAAAGAAATAATCCCGAGCTAAACTGCGTACAGCTGGATCAGGAAACCAGAGGAAAAGCCTTAAAAAGCCTGGTCTATATAAGCCATTTAGAAGGTGCAATGGTGAACCCCAAATATGGTGCAATGAATCTTAAAAATAGTCACCAATTCTGGCTACTACTTCCTACACTGCTACCTCATTCTTAGTAATAGCTATAGCAGAAAGTCTGATTTTTCCTTGGCTTATTCACAGAAAAATAAGGGAAAGGGGCTTCAGCCTACTCCTGACAGTTTTGCAGGCCAGAGAGTTGCCCCTCTTTGGAGGAGGTCTGTGTAGCATTGTCTCACGTTCAAGTACTCCTTTTCCAAACTTAAGTTTGGAAAGTTTTCCAAACTTATTTAAGAGCTTAAGGGAACTCAAGCCAATTAACTCAAACCATTTACTAAAGAGGATTTCTGGAGATGGTTGATGGTGGAGGAGGAAGATCATACGGGATAATTTATGCCATTCACAGATGGGTAGGTTAATTGGTCTGTGGTGCTGTAGGACAGGCAGAGGGAGGTCTTCTTGTTCTTCCAAAGCTCTGGCACAGGAACTTGGGTAATTAAACATGCCAGAGTAGAGTTAGGTTGCGTCATTGGCAGACAGGTGCTCACCAACACAAATGACTTGAGAAGAATGTGAAGGGAAAAGACAGGTGAAAGCCACTAGTCCATAAATGTGATGTGCCTCTTCTCCCAAGATGAGTTATAAAGAGATGCACTACTTGGGGATTGGGCTGTAGGTAACAGACTGGAAGACAAGGGGCTTTGTGTGGAAGGGTGGAAAAAGACATGAGGTGACATTTAATTCCTTAACTTTTCTTAGCCCTTTTCATTATCCAAAGTAAACCTGAGAGATTCAAAACTCTGATGGGTACTTTTTTTGACTTTGCAATTCAGGGAGTGAACTACAAAGTAGAGATAATAACACTTATGATTTTTAATGCCAATTGATTGGCAACTCACAGTAGCTAATCTTTTTGAACAGTTAGTCTGTAAATTCATTGTCTAAATTTGTTTTCAGTGACAATCCCTGAGGCGATTAGAAACATGGGAATAAATTCATAGTTAGAATGACCTATTTGCAAATAATTTCTTTAAATTAAAAAATGGAGTTGATTTGAAGAGAAAACAAATCTCCTGTAGCGAATTATTTGCTCATATCTGTTTCTGAGGTTTCTCATCTCCTTCCATAGATTTCTAAGCCTTTATGCATGAGTCACTAGCAATATGATGAAACAAGGGATTTGCATTAAATAAAAATTTTCTCCATCTTTTAAGACACGTTTCATCGCTTCTGTGCTTCTATCTTTTCTCTCTACAGCAAATCAGAATAGAAAAAAAATATGTATAGACTATATACCTAATGATATCCTGTGAGGTTGTTTGTTCCCACCAGACATCCATATTATTCATACTGTTATTTGTGAAGCTGTTGCTGATCAAGAGATTTTAAAATAATTTTTTTCATACACAACATGTTTTAGGGACTTGTTTTGGAGAGTTTGCTTTCTATGGCAAGGTTCCTCATCAGTGGATGTTTATAGAAATGATAATGTGTGATTTTTATTCTTTGACAAAGTGTCCTTTTTTTTCATAGAAGACTGACAGTAACTCAGACTCCAGTTATCTGTTTATGTAGTTTCTAACTGCATTACTTTCATAATGATATGCTGTATGTGCTATGCATGAATCCAAAAATACAACAATACAATAAATTAGAGAAAGATGATGATTGATTTAAGAGACCTACTCTTTTTATCACACTCTGCTACTGGTATACCAGGAATGCAGTTTTAACGTTCCACTGCTATCAATATCTTTTAGATAAGCTTTAAATAATCACTGGAAAAACACTCTGGACAGCTTTATGAAGATAATAACAGCAATTAAATCATGATTCTTTGGGGAGAAACCCTTAGCAAACCACAGATGAAAATTCTTCCACAAGATCTCCTCAGCTGCATGTGCAGAGGCAGAGAAACCCACCACACGGGCAGGATCAATGGGGCCCCTTGTTGGGCTGCAGCTGGCATCACACCCCAGCAGGTGTGCAGGATTTGGGCCACGTGCCTCTGTCAGATCCCCGTGCTCCTGCCTGCCTCTTGCTCATTCTTCTGGCAGCTGGAGGGGCTGCCCCGCTTCTCCCTCTGGCACCCGGCAGCTGTGCGAGGGCTGCAAGGAGCCCCGCTCCCCCTGCACACAAGGATTGCTCTTTATGGCACAGGCAGAGCCTGGCTGCTGGGCATGGACAGTATCCATGTGCCAAATGCTCTGGGCTGGGGCTTGGGAATGCCCCTGTCTGTCCAGCCAAACAGTATACAGAGCCTTCCCATGGTGCTGCCTTGCTGAGTGCCAGGGTGGTTTTTTGCATAGTTTCTTTCACTCAAGGATGGATTGAAAGTCAAACAGCTAGAAATGCCCCATTGCAGTGGTCCACCACTTGTTTTCTGCTGGATTATGCTGGGCTTAAGACAAGAGCAGCTCTGACTTGTAGGTTTGAGGACTCTGCAGTGGGACGCACAGCTTTACAGGAGGCTTTTCCTTCACAAAATGTGAGGATGGGCATGGATGTTTAGTGACTTCGGGTTTTCTCCCTCTATCCTCTTAGAAGGGTTGTCCCTACTCAGAGCTAATTGCAGCAAATATGTGGTGGTTCCACCCAGGAGTCTGTGCTAGCACTGGCTGGCACAGTGGTTGCAAGAGGGGCAACATCCCCTTACCCATCACACACAATCCCAGTGGAAGAGTGTTGCCGTGAACTACAGGTGCTGCAAATATCCTGAAATGCCTGTTGGCCTGGCAGTGATGAGGCATGGTGGAGTCCTGTCTTTGCCTGGGACTAACACCCTGAGTGCTTTACCTCTGGTGAAGTTCTTGGCACTGTTCCTCCAGGCATGGGTGAGTCCTGTCATTTGCTCTTTATTCTCCCTAGGACAGCAGTGGAAGAGGGATTCACCATCTGGCTAATCCCCCAGGTTTCTTAGTCTCTGCTATCCCTTGCAGCCACAAGTTGAGTCCCAAGACCAATCTGTATTTCTGTTTGGCGACTTTCAAATGTGTATCCTGCTGGCAAAACTTAATGGCCCCTGATGGCTTGGCATACCCTGGACAGTAGCAGATATGCCCTTGGTGTTAAAGTCCTACTGTTCTCTAGGATTTTATTGAGAGGTGCTGCCTATTCCAGCCAGCAGCCTGGGCTGCAGAGCACTTTCTCACTGCTGCCAGTCAATTTGATGGAGATTTGCACTGGAATTTTCACAGAGAGCAAGTAACAACACTGGGAATGGACCTCTGACTTTTCCTGCTCTGGACACTGCAGCCCCACAGAAACAGGATGAGCAATGACAAATTGCAATCTTGTTTCAGGCCTTATGTGAATGCTGAGATGCAGAACTGAGATGTGGAAAGAGAGTTTGTGAACCAGAAAAGCTTTGGTAGAGAAAGAGGAGAGAACATCATGAGCAGAGTGGGAATACCCCAAAAGCATGAATAGATGTTCCTGGTGGGTACAATTACCTAAGTCATTGCTTCATTTATATTCCTCCCATACCTAGCTGAGTGCTCACCACTTCATGGTGGCCTCCCAAATGTCCTAAAAGTTGTCACTTTGCTAGCTTCCTCCAGGAATAAATAACCCAAGCAGCTAACATGGATTTGTGGCTATCTGAGGACTGCTATTTTTATGGGAAAAAGCTCGGCATTATGCATGTAGACAGCGAGTCAGCAGTGAAGCCAAAGTCAGGAATAATGGTGCCTTTAGAGCTTCTTTTCCAAATGCCTGCCATTAGGGTTTTAAGTTCTGAAAGGAGCTTATTGCTTTCAGGCAGGACTGTTTTACCACAAGAAAATTGGAAAAAGGAGGAAGAAAGAAGAGGGAGGAGAGAGGAAAAAAAGGAGTCTTGTATTGTATAAAAACAATTGAGACAGTGGAAAGTGGAATTGGTTACTAATGATCTGTGGCTAAGAAAGCATTAAACACATTCAGACTCCAGCCTCTGTGATGATAATACTCAGTGGGTGAGAGGAAGGCAACGTGAATGTCAGTGAAGCAGGAAAGAGCTCTAGTCCTGCTGCAGCATGGTGTGACTGCCACCCCGGTTTCTGTGCTCAGCCTGAGCCGGGCTGCCTCCTGCCCACTGGGTACCAGGGATGTGCTCCTGCACCAGTGATCAGCAACTGCTCTCCTGGCTGCTCCTTGTGGGAAAGCAAACAAACAAGCTTCTGTCTGATGTCTGTCTGTTTCCTCTGGAGTCCTGCCGAGACAAAGTGGGTTGTGAGGATCCTCATTGCAGCAGGGAGGAGTAAGTGTTACTACTGCAGAAGCTGCTGGATAAAATTCTATGGCTTGCATTTCACAGGGGGTCAGGCTGCGTGATTGTTGTTGTAGCAGTTCTTGCTGCCCTTAAGATCCACGTCATTGTCTGCTTCAGCAGGGCTGGCTTACAGCCTAGGGGCTGTAACACAGGGGTTTTTTGTGAAATGCTGATGTTTTGGTCATCCTGCTGCCTGTGACTTTAATTTATGCTGCTCAGAAGAGTCTCTCTTATGAACAGGGTTCATATGAACTACTTTATTTTTTTAAAATATTTGTGATGACAATACTTTTGTGGCCACAGCCTCTGTGGACACAGAACATCTGTGACGTGGGTCTTTGCACTTCATGTCTGTGGGACATGTCCCTCATCCTTTTAGTAGACAGACCCCTTGCCCTGTACAGCCCTTCTGAGCAGTGTGTCCCGAGAGTGTCCCTGCCCTGTCCCGGTATCCCTGCACTGCCCAGCCCTGCAGCCAACAGCAGGGCAGTGGGAAGAGCAATCTTTCTGAGGTCTTTCTCTTTCCTGCCTGCAAGTGTGTCACTCAGCAGTGAGGAAGGTGAAGGCAGGCGTGTCTGCTTTCCCAGCTCTGCAGACAGGCATGGCTACCCTGGAGTTGCACAGGGATAAGTGCAAAATCTGGGTCACAATTCCATGTCAGCCACTGCAACCTCAGGTAGGGGAAAACCTCATGAATAGGTTCCAGTAACACTTCACAGTTCACACAGTGAGGTGCTGCCAGACAGACAGGTTTTGTGTCAAAACCTCAATTCAGTCCCAAAAACTGAAAACATCTGGATGCTTTCCCGTCAAGGGCTCAACCCTGCAAGGTGGCCAGGCTGGTTGTATTTCATGAGCCGAAAGTGAAAGAATACAGTGGTTAGGTAACCAGGTTCCATTTGGAGATTCTCATTTTATTGTTTTGCTAAAATATCCTCTAGTTTGATGACTTCAGTCACAGGCTGCCTTGTTTATTTGCTCTGCTGCTAAACTGTGGTTTCTGAAATCACTCCCTATTGAGCCTTTTATAATTCTCAGCTTCCCTAATAACCTTAATTTTCTGTCACAATTTTCTTTTCCAGTGTTAACACCTGCTATTTTATTCCTCTTTGTAAACTGGAAACTCTTATGGCAAGTCTCTATTCAGTAAAGGGGTTATGGTGAATTGACATATCCTAATAAAATCCTGTGCTCATATGGAGCTCAGATACTGAGGAAATTTGAAAGATGTGTGAAATACTTTTCTGTTAAAACAATGAAAAATCATTCATCTTCGGTAATATTTTATAGGAGAATTAATAGTAAAAAATGGTGTGGTCAGTCCAGTCAGACTACAGCTTTTGACCTTTCTTGTATATCTGAATTATTAAGGAAGAAAAGAAAGAATCCATTATCTACAATTTTTAATGTAATTAATAGAATTTTTTTTTTTACTGTATTTGCATAATACAACTGATCCAGTAGGCAGTGGTCTGTTCTTCACTCATTAGGAAAGCACTTTTGCTGGGAAATCTTCCTATACTGTCTCGATAATGTGAAGCCTAGCTGTGCTAATTCTCACCATCACACCCGAACAAAAATTAGGTTTTCTTTAACAGACTTGACATTTTTCGTGTTGCAAAGAAAACCAACCTCAGCTTATGTACCATACTATGTTTCTGCATGAAACTGTCTCCATCTTGTTCTTGTTTGCTCCTGTAAATGTAGTGAACACTGCCTGGCAGTCCCAGGCATCACTCAGTTTACAGTGAGGACGCATCAGTCAGAACTGGCTCTCAAGACAGAAAACTGCATCAGTGTAAATCTTGGTGTGACATCCGTAGCATGACTCTGGATCTTCATCAGTGGATGCTAGAGGGCATTTCCTTCTTCTTTGGAGAATTCTCCCAGTCTTCAACAGAAGTGCAGTCCCATGGGACACTTGTTTATCTTCTTTTGCTAGCTCTGAAGGAGGAAAACTATTTCCTTTAGATGAGGTTTTTATCTGGAGTGGTTTCCCTCTTCCAGTTGTTTTGTATCATAACCAGTAGAGGACGAGACTTCCCATGACATCTTCCATTATAGAAAGATGATACAAGAAACTGGAGTGCAGAGGATAATGCAAAAACAAGACATTATGAAAGTAGTCTTTTGCCCAGGATGAAAGTTGCCTCTCTCCAAGCAGGCACCCTGGAAATAGCTACCTTCAGCAAAATTCAAATACTCTTACTTCACGTGACTTTTCTTCATGTTCACAGGAACATCATTGATGTGCATGCATTGCTTGAGATATAAGAATTTACAATGATTTATGGCTCATCTTTTTATCATTTGTTTCTTCCTTTGCTATTCCTGTTCTAAAATGAGGGCAATATGTTGTGATGACTTTGAATTTGTGCAAAGAGGGAACAGGAAGCTATGACTGGTCTAGTGCATTGCTCAAGTGATTTTCCCAATTACCAATTGACTCCTTAGAGTGCAATCATGCTGAATGTGTACAATTAATTATTTGTTCCAGTATACCCAGGAAGTCCAATTCAAGGACTGTGATACAGAGCAACATGAAGTCCTTGCTCTACAAAGCAAACTCTTTAGATATGAAACAAGATACGCTAAGTGGTACAGATTCCTGTTCTGAGGTAATCTCTTTTTATTTAAGTTTAGCTCTTACAAGCTTTATTTGACACTTTCTGCTCCTTGAAGTAGATGGACAGTGAACAGTCATTTCCTCTCCACTGACTTCACATTATCACAAGTTTTCAGAACTGTATAAACCATACCATAGTTTGTCATAGTTGGTCTTTCTCTGGGCTTTAGCCACCTCAGATATATCTTTTGTGTCCTTCCATTCAGATGAGGCGACCCTAACTGGAAAAACATTCAAGATGTAGATGAACAGAATCAAAATTATCTTTTTGTCTTGTTTTTCGTTACTGGCATTTGAGTTGTTTTTTTAACTGCTGCTGAGCAGAGCTGAAGCTTCTGCAGAGCTGTCTATTGTAACCTTGAGCATCCGCTATTGAATGGTAATTGTCACCTCAGAGTCCATAATTTTATTTCACTGTGAAGAGTATTTGTTCTATTCTAAGTGCAGACCTTCTGTTTCACATCTTTTGTCCCTTTATTTGTCCCTGCAGGTCCTTTCCACTTATGCGATGGCTGCTCAGTTTCTTTAAAACCATTGATTGGAGACTTTACCCAAAGAGTCGGAACATCCAGTTGTATTTTATTTGACTGTCTCCTCTGACCCATATGTTAATTAACTTCAAAAAGCTCAAATGGATTTTACAAGGCATAATGCTCCACTACAGAGCTGACATTGGCTCTTCCATATAAGTTGCATTCAGACATATATTTGTCCTCTATTGTAACCTTTACAAATTTGTGCACTAGAGTTACAAGCTTGCAGGTCTGTAGCTCTCCAGATCCTCACATTTGCTAACCCTCAGTGTTCAGTGCCTAAAAATCACCATGGGAGGTTAGGTACCCCTATCAGTGACCCAGCTCTTACTTCCTTGAGCTTTCTCAAAACTCTTGATAAATACCTTCCCATCCAGACAACCCATCAACACTTGTGTTAACATTACAACAGCCTCTCCATAGTCAGTTATATTTCAGATAGATCCCCTGCAGTATTGCCTGCATAAAAGGCTTCTAGTGAGGAAGTATCAGCTGTTTCTTCTACATGATCCTAGAAACATATAATCATAGAAAGATTTGGATTTAGACGTTAGAGATCATCTAGTTGCAGCCTCACATGCCATGGGCAGGAACATGTGTCACTAGAGCAGAATGTCCAGAGCCCCATCCAACCTGACCTTGAACTCTTCCATGAATGGGACATCCTCAGCTTCTCTGGGTAACCTGCTTCAGTGCCTTACCGCCCTCACAGCAAAGAATATTTTTCCACTGTCTAACCTTAACCTGACATCTTTCAGTTTGAAGCCATTCCCCCTTGTCCTGTCATCACATGCTCTTGCAAAACGTCTCTCACCATCTTTCTTGTAGGCTCCCTTGAGGTGTGGGAAGGCTGCAGTGGTGCAGGTATTCACTCTGCTCTTCTGCAGCAGCATTACACCCTGAGCTCCACAGACTGCCTGGCAGGCTTTGTGCTCTGATGTTGATGATTCCTGTGGAAGAGGAATTTACTACTATGTTTGATTGCTCCAGCCAAATGTTCTTCAAACTTTTTTTCCCCCCTGGCCTGCCTAATTATATTTTTTGCATTTAATCTGCCAGGTTTTATGATTCTTTTTATTTTCTTCATTTGGATACAGCTTCTGCTTTTGAATGATGCCTTCTCAATTCTAATAAACTCTTATACTTCCCAAATCTTTAGCTCACTGCTCCATCACACCTGCTTTTTTTAATTGTTTCTCAAGTTTTTCGTAACAGTCAATGTGCACTGGAGCTCTGCTTTTAGTAGGATGTTCTTTGGTAGTCCTTGTGCTATCAATGAGGATTTTGCTCTCTCAGATAACTCTTTTAGCTTCCTTTTAAACAATTTTCCTCCTTTCATATACTTCAATTTCTTGAGGTTTAGCCCAGTTGTGGTGGCTTTTTGATCTTTGATGCTCCAAAGAGTATATTTGATCTAAGAATGTTGTGATCATTGCTTTTCAGTGGTGGTTTTTCTATGAACGTTTAAAACAGAACCTACATAGTCTTTACTGTCATGACACAAAGTATTTTGAAATCCTGAGATGAAAAGATTTTAAGGCGATTAGGAGAGAGCTCAGGTACATGTACCAGGGTCAAGGGATTGATTTAAAGGCAAAAATGTAGGAGAGTTCTAGGAATATATTTTGAAGTATTTAACTGTTATGGAAATTATCTGAGATCAGGAGAGAGGGTTGTGGTGTGGAGATGGAATGACTTAGGCTCATATCATTGGAGAAACAGAGCTGGGCTCAGCACGATACCATAGAGTGACTTCAGGCAGCATTGAGAACAACCAGAGAGAGGAAATAATGGACCAGGAAGGTAATTTTTGGTAGCAGCACTTAGAA